AGGGTTTCCGAGGCTGTAAATCTTTATGGGAGCAGAAAGCCTCATCTTTCTCCCACAGAACAGCTGGTAGTTTCGAACTGCTGACCTTGCGGTTCGCACCCTGATTCGTAACCACTACGCTACCAGAGCTCCCTTTCGTCTAATTAGGGCACCTTCAAAAAAATCAAAATCGAAACAGTAGCTTCTGAGGGAATCTGCAGGACAGTTAAATTCAAGGCCGGCAAGTCAGCTCAGAAGGTTAAGGCGACTGTTGTGGGGAGATCCCAAAGGGGAAATCTTGGTACATTTTCTTGAAAGATACAAGATAATCACGGTGACTTAATTAGGAAGAAGTTTTAAAATAATTCAAAACTGCATTGATGAGAAAAAGACCAGGAAAGTTATACTGAGGAATGTTTTTCCATCATGACAATGCACTTGCTTTTTCTTTGAAGAAAGCAAGGGCTGTCCTAAGAGAATTTCTTTGGTGACCTTACCCTATGAACCCTACAACCCTGATCTTACCCCTTCAGACTTTTTATTCCCCAAACTTAAGAGAGCAGTTAAAAGGAACATGATTTGAGTTCCTCAGGGATTATAAAACTGCCATTTTGATGTGGTGTAAGTCAAAGAGCGCAGAATTCTTTGGGGAAGGGTCAGAGATATGGCAACACTGCCTTCAAAAGTGTGTAGACCTAGAAGGAGGCTCTGTTGAGAAACAATAGCTGCACATTTTGATATTTTTTTGTTTAGGAAAGGTTTCAGTAATGATTGTAGCAGTACTTTTTGACTTGCCTCTGTGTGTGTGTGTGTGTGTATGTGTGTGTGTGTGTGTGCGCGCGCGCGCGCGCTATTATAATCAAATTATCAGTATTATTGTATTTCAGAGTTCACATTATCATGTCTGTGTCTCTCTGGACTTTAACACAAGCACTGTAAAATATCAAGACATGACCAATTTGTAGTTGAAATTTTGAACCCTCAAAACTTTAAAATCATTCACATACTCAGAAAGAATTGGCCCCCAGAAGCAAATTTCTTTTCAGACTTTATTATTAGCTTAAACTCTCCACATATACCACTAACATTTTGCTTCCCATTGAACATAAAACACATTTGTGATGGTTCAGAATGGGGATGGAACATCTGTGAAATTAGTGAGGTTGTTAATTGGAGAGGAAAATATCAGCCTATTGAAAAAATTTGAGTACTAACACTGAAATAGCAAAAATGCACTTATAAATTGTCAAATTTTCCACTTAGGTTTAGTGGTCAGATATTTTGAGAGATTTCAATGAACTTTACTTAAACCCTTTGTTCTTTCATAACATGTATTTTTATAGGTCACATTTTACAATTATATGAACCATGTATTAACAGGATAACAAGAGTTGCTCCAATTTAGATCTTTTTTTAAATTCTAAAGTCAATTATATTAAGTATACAAATAATCTTACTTTAACCCAGCCTTTTTCAGATAGACAATTATGAGTTGAACTTGGCAGATTTTTCTTTTCTCCCTATAAAATAGTTGTAATTCAGAGTCTTAAACTGATAATGGAATGCACACGAAACCTAGAACTGGGGGTCAGACTAGGACTGAAAGATATTCGAAAGAGAGAATCCTGTTCCATTCCTATATTTCACAGATGAGAAAACTGATGATTGGTTGTTAACATTATAAGTTTAAATAATTCTGTTCCCTCCCAGCTGCCATTTAACTTTTCTGGTTTGGTTGATGAAAGTCATTGTTCTCATTATCAGTAAATCTGAGGGCTTTTTCCTTACCTGGTGGAAGTATTGGCAAGTAGACCGAGGACTTCTTGCCAGTGCTTATCAGCATGCTTAAGCTCAGCTGTTAAGGACAGTGTCAAGTAGCTCAAGCAGACAAAACTCTGGAGTTAATTTCAAGGTATACTCAAGTATGTTCTCATTTTTTTTTAAATGGCTATCTTCAATAAAATGGAAGTTAAGTAGTCTGGCTTCTTCTGTGCTCGCTCTACCACATGAAGAATGGTTGTTGAATACCTATACCGGCCTTAACCTCTGGACTTTATCATTTCAAAGAAGAGAGCAGAGCTTTAGGATGAAATTTGAATCGTGGGCCTGAGCCAGAAAAGGAGAATAATATAATCAAAATAAGAAAGAAAGAAAAAAGAATCATAAACTATACAAAAGTACGATATCTGGTTGGTTTTGCTTTTTTTTTTTGGAAAATATTTGACAAAGTCCTTTAAGTTGATCTGTATTCCTTTCAACAAAAAGTATGTTAAATTCGGGTTATTTTTTTGTTATGTTTTGTTTTTCATTAAGAATTTAATTTTATGCAAATAGCTATTGATTAAAAACCTTTCTTCCTGCAAAAGAGAATCTTTGGTTTGACTTAATGTTGTGGAATGTTTGTAGGTACCTGGAACGGAAACACAAAAGTAGCCATAAAGACCCTGAAACCAGGCACAATGTCCCCTGAGTCGTTCCTCGAGGAAGCGCAGATCATGAAGAAGCTGAAACATGACAAGTTGGTCCAGCTTTATGCAGTTGTGTCTGAAGAACCCATCTACATTGTCACCGAGTACATGAATAAAGGTTGGGCCTTGGCTCTCCTACCTCCACCTCCACAGTAACCTAGAGGGGTCACTGCACACGGAGAGAAACGGAGCTGCCTGCTTGCTTCTCTCCTAGTTTCTGCACAATTCAAGTATTCTCATCAGAAAGCATCCATTGTTTGCTCACTAATGAAAACATTTTAGAAGCAGACCTTGCATTTGCTCTCAAAACATTGTAAAAATCTATCTGCTGCATGCTGCATAGCATATGCCAGGAATTCAAGCTCCTCTCCATAATAGAAATCTTTGTTTTTAACCATTTTATGACCCATGGGACATATATCACTCACCACCGGGGACATATGTGTCCTACAGAATTTTATCAAAATTCATATTACCTGAAAAAGTGCCCCTAATGTCAGCATACCTTCCATTACTAAGGGGCCCTGGTGGTGGCACAGTGGGCTAAGCATCAGAGCTGCTAAACAAAGGGTCAGCAGTCTGAACGCAGTAGCTGCTCCAGGGTAGAAAGTCAGCCTTGGAAAACCTATGGTGTAGTCCTGCTCTAGCCTAAAGACTTGCTGAGTTGGAATTGACTCTATGCAGTGGGTTTGGAGTGTTTTATTGTTTGTTTGTTTTTCTTCTGTGACTGAAAGCACATGGTATCAACAAGAAATTTAAAGCAGAAAATAATGCAGTCATGAAAAGATTGATACAGGGGTTGGTGCAGAGTCACGTTGCTGTTGTTTAGTGCCGTCAAGTTGACAACCTGTATAGAGTTTCCAAGGAGCAGCTGGCAGGTTTGAACTGCCAACCTTGTGGTTCGCAGTCCAGTGCTGATCCTATGGCACCACACTCGGAGTCTGCAGGAGCGTGTGTTAAATATCTCTTGTAGGACTCAACAGTTAGCAGCAGACTCTGGTCTCTGAGCTAAGTTTAGTCTCCATTAGTTTGACATCTTCTGTTTTTTGGGGTTTTGTTTTTGTTTTTGTTTTTCAGCTCTCTTCTTAAACATCAGATGAAGAAATGACATGCTTTTAAAGAGCACATTTTATTCTCATCCTCCCTCCCCTCACCCCCTCTTCTCAGTCTCTCTAATCAAAGCAATATTACTGGGGATAAGGCCAAAGATCACTTTGTTTTGGAAAAATAAATGAACCAAACAAGAAACAAACAGCCTTAAAAGGCAATGTATTGTACGTCAGAGGACCCTATTGTCCTTTTTCTTTTCCACATACTTTCTTTTCAAATGTATTTGGAATTTTTTTCCTGGCAGAGCGTCTGCCCTTTGTATCCAGAGTTATTTTGTAAATTATATGATTAAAGCATGAAAAAAAAAAATCACCGATCACCGTCATGAGCCTCCAGCCCCTGCAAACGATCATTCTGGCCTTAGTGTGACTACTGTGCCTCCTAAGGCCGAGTCCCCACTAATGGCTTGAAGCTTTGTGTTCACATATCTAATTGGAGGCTTGGCTAGCTATGATCAAATTAGGAAGAGCTACCTGATCTACCCTGTAGAGTACTGGTGTGGAGCTGTGGATTAATACACTGGACTGCAAAGTTGTTTGAACCACAAGGTTGGCAGTTCAAGCTTACCACCCACTCCTCGGAAACCCTGTACTGGGTCACTATGGGTCAGGACCAACTTGACAGCACTTAACAACCTGGCCTAGTATTTCTCAGATACTCTTTTCTTGATTTGAAATCTGTAAATAAGTTAGGCCAGTGGTTCTCCAACCTCCCAGGTATAAGACTCACCTGGAGAAGTTTTTAAAATGACAGATGCCTGCGCCTGACCCCCAGAGTTTCAGCTCTGGAATGGGACCTGCTGAAGTCTACATTTCTGATACGTTCGTTCCCTGGCGATGCTGTGTTGCTAGCCCACGGAGCACATTTTGGAAACCACTGGGCTGACCTGTGTTTTTCCAGCATCGCTCCTTAGAGCGAAGTTCTCCACAGGGTCCTCTTTATGACATAAAGGAAGATTAAGTCCCATTTCTTCTCATTTTATACAGTTTTGTCTTAATCCTTAGAAATGGAGTCAACATTGTTTATTTTTTAAAAGCTAAAACTGTTGCCCTTTAAGGCAAAGAATTTTCTCAATCCTTGTTTTTTGTGTATTTTCCCCCACTGATCACTTTAGTCAATTCAGCTACGAATTACTTCTAGTAAGAAAACTATATACAGCTCTCAATTGGGAATTTTAATCTTTCAAAATAAATCAAAATGGTTTTGTGTTTTGTTCATAGGAAGTTTACTTGATTTCTTAAAAGATGGAGAAGGAAGAGCTCTGAAATTACCAAATCTTGTGGACATGGCAGCACAAGTAGGTCCCATATTACCAGTATTTGTGCCCTCGGATTAAAAGTGTGCCAGCGTATCAAGTCATGAGGTAATGCAACCTCTTTTCTGGGTTTTCACAGGTTGCGGCAGGAATGGCTTACATCGAACGCATGAATTATATACATAGAGACCTTCGATCGGCCAACATTCTAGTTGGAAATGGCCTAATATGCAAGATCGCTGATTTTGGATTGGCTAGGTTGATCGAAGACAACGAGTACACAGCAAGACAAGGTAAGCACTTGTATGACGATGGTTCTTGACTGTGCTTTTTAGAATGATCACTGGCTGTATGGCCTTCCTTCCTCCTCACACTCCCTTCTTCCTCTGAGGTGTCACTCCTCAGCTGACAGGAGTGTAACTGGACTTCAGGTGGGAGACCGTAGTGGATCATATGGAGAAGACATAGGACATGCGGCTTGTCAGTGTGTGCCCACTGTGGCCTTCTGACTTCTGCCACATACCTAAGAGCATCCAGACCTGGAGTACTTTGTCTCTGAAGAAAAAGGACTGTGGAAAGGCAAGTTCTAGCTCATCACTGAATTTAGTCAGAGTCCCAGCAGAAAACAGAAGGCACACTCCCAACTGTAGAATTCAATAGAGGGGTGATTTGCAAAGGTATGGTCAGGGTTTAGGGGAAGCAGCAGGGCACGGTGCAGCTTTCCAGAGCTAGCAACAACAATGGAACGGACTTGAAGGGCGAGGGACCCAGGGAATGGGTAGTGGTAGAGAGTGCCCCCTTGGGTAGAGACATTCAGCAATAATGGGTCTGAGGGTCTCAATTTTCAGCCCTCTTCTAAATCTCTTGCCAAACCCAACCAGAAACAACGAGATCAAAGGAGCCTAGTAATGCCGTTTCTGTGGGTCCAGGAGGTATCCGTGGGTGGCACAAATAATTAAGTGCATGATTACAGCTGAAAGGTTGACAGTTTGAACCTACCCAGAGACCCATCAGAAGACACACCTGGTGACCTGGTTCTGAAAGGAGCCGTTCTACTCTGCACACATAGGGTTTCCGTGAGTTGGTATGAACTTGATGGCATCTAACAACAACATGGGGCCCAGGCAGGGAGATGAAGGAGAGAGGACCTGAGAGACTACACCATAAACATTGGAGAAGCTCCACTTCCCTTAATCATCTCTCTTCACCCATTCCCTATAACAGATTTGTGGAAATTAGCCTTTAGAGCAATCTGAGTACACACTAAACCAGCAGCCACCCCAATGGAGCAGCTTTTCAGATACTATTAGAGCACCAGGTAGAAGGGAAGAAATTCCCAGGAGTATTTCCTAGCTCCTGATCTGGTCATCAGGTAGATACTGTGGAGTTAGGTATACAGTTTGCAACTATATGTAAAATGTAGGAGCCCTGGCAGCATAGTGGATGATGAATTGGGCTACTAACAGAAAGATCAGCAGTTCGAATCTATCAGCCGCTCCACAGGAGCAAGATGAGGCTTTCTGTCTCCTTAAAGATTTACAGCCTCGGAAACCCTATACTGGGTCACTATGAGTCAGAACCTACTCCGCGGCACACTACCACCAGCACCATGTAAAATAGAAAGTTTGGATCTGGGGAAAGGGGATAACTTTTCCTTGTTGTTATTCTTAGCCCAAACCTATTCTTATTCAAAGTACATGATGGAAAAGTGACTAACCTATTATGGAGTGATGTTTTTACTGGGGTTTCACAGTCGCCGCTCTGGAATTCTTTCTTATTTAGATTCTTTCCTTTCATGTCAATTCTTCCTTTTTTTTATTTGACTCTTAAGAATGGAAACATTCTTAGCAGTCTAATGATGAGTAAAACATGTTAATCTACGACTCTGGCTGGTACAGATACTGCCCAAATGCTAAATTAAATGTCTGTCAGACCGCTCAGCTATTTGAATTTTCCCAACACGTGGCAGCTCTTGTCTTGGAGCCAAACGCCCGCACAATACAACACACAGGCGTACACACCAGTGTCGGGCCAGATGGCCACATCTCTAATCAAAGGCATACAAGCAACTCTGATTGGCACTGGTAGTCCAGAGAGAAATAAGGACGTGATTTTGAGGCAAGGTGAACTGAGAGAGTGTGAAATGCACCTGGCTCTAAATGAGGAATGATCCTGTCAGGTCCCTACTCCTCAGACTCCAAGCAAGAGTGAGGAAAATTGTAAGACACGAATAATTGGCTTAGGAAAGGATTTGAATACAGTCACTCTTGTGGTCATGTAAGTACCCTTCTGCATGTGAGTAGAGTAGAGCCCCTATGTCAAATGTGTGGTTCGGAATTTGTTTCTTTTCCTGGACTGGACTGTCCATAGTTTGCGCTTAACACTCCTGAACCCTTGATAAGGGAGAAGATTACAGGACCAGCCACCAAAGGTGGTGCTCCTGACAGGGCCTGGATATTTAGTTCATGGATACCCACTACAGTGAAGTACCCCAGGATGTGGCTAGCACCCAGAAGAAGAAGTATGATGTCCCTTCACATCCCCCTGCAGTTCTCAGCAGTCCAGAGCTGCTACCGTCAGCTCTCTGCCCCTCAAGGCCATCTTCTCATTAGTGCTCTGATGGTCTTTTCCACCTTCCTCACCTCCGCCCTTGCTTTCCCAGATACTACCTGAACCCCTTTCAAAGAACCAGCCTTGTACCTTTTGTACTATGAGACCTTCAGTTCAAACTCAGCAGCCGCTCCTCAGAAACCCTATACAGGGTCAGTATGAGTCAGAACCAACTAGATGGCACTTAACAACAAGAACCCTGCCTTCTGGACTCCTAGTGTACGATCAGCACTGGACTGCAAACCACAAGGTCAGCAGTTCAAACCCACCAGCTACTCCTTGGAAACCCTATATACAGTCACTATGGTTGGAACCGACTTGACGGCACTTAACAACAACAACCCTCTCCTCTTAAAAGTTTGGGTTTTTTTCCCACTGTCTTCCCTTTCACAAACATCTTCAAATCCATGCCAAACACTGAAAAAAGGTGAGACGTTTAGTGAACTGGAGAAGTAAACTAAAAAGTGGGCATTGTTGTTGTTGTTAAGTCCCGTCGAGTCGGTTCCGACCCATAGTGACCCTGTATAGGGTTTCCGAGGAGCCACTGGTGAACTTGAACTGCCAACCCTGCAGTTCAAACGGCTTTGCAGTCTGGCGCATTAACCCACAGCGCCACACCAAGACTCTGCAAAAAGTGGGCATTAGGGCCTCATAATTTCAAGGGAGAATAAAAGAGAAGAGATGCTTCCTTACAGCAGAGGGAAAGGGAAACAGGCATTTCTAGAATGTCTACCAAATTTCAGCCTGAGAGTGTAAGCGTGAGGCAGTGGGAGGGCAACAGAAAATAGGCTCAGAAGGGTTAAGTAGCTCACACAGTCACACACCTAGGAAATGGCAGAGTCAGAGTTTGAATCCAAGTATGACTGGCACAGTTTCACCTGCCTCCTTTAAACTAACTGCCCTTCCCAAGACAGTAATGAAAAGAACAGGAAACTGCCACAGTGAGACACCACTTCATGCCCTCTAAGAAGAGCTATGGTTTAAAAAGAAAAAAACAACCTGTGTTGGCAAGGATGTGGAGAAATTAGAACCCTCATTCATTGCTGGTGACCTGTAAAACGGTGTACAGTGCCTCCAACAGATAACTTAGAATTAGCATGTGATCCAGCAATTCCACTGCCAGTTATATTCCCAAAGGAATTGAAAGCAGACAGATAACAACAAATAGATAACAGAATACAGACAATGTACACCAGTGTTTGTTACAGCTCTTCATACGTCTCCGTCTGAGTGCTAACCACATCCAGTCAGTGGCAATCCACAATAGCAAAAAGGAGGAAACACCTGAAATGTCTATCAGCAGATGAATGGATAAACTAAGTGTAGTACAGACTGTTGTTGTTTTTAAGCACCATCGAGTCAGTTCCGATCCATAGCAACCCTGTATACAATTTTAAGGAGCAGCTGGTGGGTTTGAACCGCCAACCTTGTGGTTCAGTCATTATCCCACAACACCACACCAAGACTTCTTGGTGATAGTGCAGACTGACAGTGGAATATTACACAATCATGAAGAGACATGGCATCCTGGCACATACTACAACATGGATGCTGAGTGAAATTAGTTCGTCACAAGAGGGCAAATATTATAAGCGCCCACTTCTAGAACATACCTAAAATAGGCAAATGTATAGACACCAAAGACTCGGGTGAGAGGGAGAGAAAGAGGGCATCATTGTTTCGGGAACACTGAGTTTACTGCTTAGAGTGAGGGAAAATTTTGAAAACTGTCAATGCTGATGGTTACACATGATGAAATGATGAAAGTAGTATCAGTGAATTGTGCATGTTAATGAGGTTGAAATGGCAAATATTTGGTATACAAGGGAGCTGCAAAAAGTCCTTGGCAAATGAAATTAAAAGATAATGGAGTTTTTCCATGAACTTTTTGAAGCTTCCTCATGTATACTGGAAGTCCTGGTGTAGCGCTGTGGGCTAATGTGTCAGACTGCAGAGTCATTTGAACGTCAAGGTCGGTGATTCAAGCTCACCAGCTGCTCCTTGGAATCCCTATACAGGGTCGCTATGCGTCAGAATCAACTTGACAGCACTTAACAACAACAACATGTGTACTCACTACAATAAAAAATGAGTTTAATAAAGAACAGGAAAAAAGGAGACTATTAATCATAATCGTCATCAGTCTGTTTTTCTCGTTACTTTATGGGGAAATTTTAAGAGCACCTTCTAATGTGCGTGTGTGAGGAGGAGAAATAGCTTTATTTTCAAGCTCTGAGGCAACCCAGCTGTTTATAAAATTCCTCCCTAGGGCCCTGCCCTGCCCTGGCCTCTTTTCAAGGCAGAAAAGATCTGGTGTATATCTGCTGGTGTACTCTGCAGATGGCATGCGTGCTGCATGCTGAAGTTTCTGTCGGGGATTAATCAGCTCCTCCAGACAGCTGGTCCATGTGCCTAATAATATTTGCAAGTCGGGTTTTATGTTACCCATAGGCCGCAGCCATGCTGCATTTTGATGATGGACGTGCAGGCAGCTCAGAGACGTGCGCCAAACCGAGTTATTTTAGGACTGTGAATGACAGTTGTCTTTCAACACAGTTGTGAGTCTCCCATCTCAGGGTGCATTGGGATGTTCATCTCCCCTGGGTGGGTAAGGTGGCATTCCACAGCACCTGCAGGATTGGAACTTGAAGCTCTCACATTCCTTTCCTTCTGCCACCCTACC